AAGCGTCCTTGCAAAGACACCATGAAGATCTCTCTCAACACCCACAAGTCAATCATGATGTCTAGAACTATCTCACAAATGATCGAAATACATAGGAAACCGAACCAGCCTTTTTAGAATCCAACTGACTGGCCGATACCAAATCGAAGAAAGGTGTGTCGAGGCGCCAGATTATCTTGCTTTTACCTACCTGTTCGCCATTCCTGAACTTACTGTTTGTGTACCTGACTGGAAGGATCTCGGCTCAACACGACGTGCGCGGCATGTGTTGGACTATCAGTTCGTTTGACATTTAATTATTAACTCTTTCATAAGTCCTGTCCTGCCCTGATATCCATAGTCTGGGATTGGCAATCGTGTCCTTCGCGTTCGCTCTGCGACGGTTATACAAGAAACCGACAAGTATTATAATTTGGTCGAGGATCTTCCTCCTACCGTTCTTTCCCAAGTGCGGACATTTCTGCGTGATACCCAGACTGATGTTCCCTATACGAACCTAAAGATTGAACTCCTTTGCCTGACCTCAGTTTCAGATCACCAGCGTCATCACGCCCTCGTAAAAGAAGAAGCTTTAGGTGATCGCAAACTGTCGGCACTCCCGCGTCGTATGCGTTCTCTTGTTGGGAACATGGCATTTGACGATAAGTTCTTTAAAGAAATGTTCTTAGAGCGTTTGTCGACATCGGTGCAAACAATCTTGGCCTTCAGCTTAGATGATTCAGAAATCTCAAAACTAGCGGAAATGGCCAACCGTATGATGGAGGTTGAGCGTTTTTTATCCACGGGGGTTTCCCAGCCTCCCACTGCGTCCACCGCTGACCTGGCCGAGCGCAAGACACAGACTGCCCAATTGTCGGCGACTGTTGCCGCTTTGTAGCTGCGCCGATCTGTCGGCATATATCGACGTTCCTTCAGCCGTGACCGTAGTCGTTCCCGCTCTCGAACTAGGGCCGCAAAACTATATTGGTATCATATAAACTTTGACGGGAAGGCGCGCCCATATGTCCCATCCTGCAGACGTTTCTTAGTCGACACTGGCGCACCTACTAGTGTTAACCCTCCTACTCCAGCCGACCGACGTTGCCCCAACCATGGTCTTTTTCCCCAGGCCGTAAACTCCCCCCTCCCCATCGCGATTTTTCGATCACAACCCATCTCTCCTGACGTCCGTCTCGGGTGACTCTTCCCTTGGATGCTTGTGTTGGCTGATATTCCTACCGCTATCCTTGGTGCCGACTTTCTAGCCGCTTTCGACCTTCTGGTTGACTGCATGCAACTTCCCCTTTATGATCGCACCCCTGCCCTCTCCGTCAACAGTTTCCAGCCATCCCAAGCCTCCAGCCGTCTATCTTTCCTTGACCCAAATCCGAAATGTCAATCTCGTAAACTTTTAGCAAAATATCCTACTCTCACTAAGCCCCACTCTTCTGACTCCTCATTGTCCCATGACACTGCTCATCACATACAAACGATTGGTTCTCCTGTCTTTTCTCATGCCCGCCGTCTTGCGGCTGTTAAAGCTGAATTTGACTACATGTGGCAACTAGCGATTATTCAACAGTCTGAAAATCCCTGAGCATCTCCTTTGCACATGGTTCCTATGTTACAAACGGATGATTGGCGTCATTGTGGCGATTATAGAGCCCAGAACAATACCGATATGCCTGATCGGTATTCCGTTCCTCACTTTCAGGACTTTGCCGGAGCTCTCTTTGGTAAAACCGTTTTCTCAAAGATCGATTTGGTCCGGGCTTTCCATCCAATTCCTATTGCAACTGAGCACATTCCCTAACCGGTAGTGACGACCCCTTTTGGCTTGTTTGAATTCCTTCGTATGCAATTTGGTCTCCGAAATGCCTCGCAGACTTTCCAGCGTTTTGTTGACCATGATTGAGGTGGCCTTCCATTTGTTTATGCTTATGTTGAAGGTGTCTCAGTCGCTAGTTAGGATGCTGATGAACATCTTCAACACTTTGCACTAGTTTTCGACCAATTTCAGCAGTTCTGTGCCACCCTGCAGCCTACTGAACCTGTCCTAGGAGTCACATCCTTTGAGTTCGTAGGTCATCAGATCGAATCCAACGGCATTCGGCAGCTTCCCTCAAAAGTCGCTGACATTCGGGATTTTTAACCCCCTGCCTCGAAGCATCAGGTGCAGCGGTTTCTCGGTATGGGGAATTTTCATCAACGGTTTCTCCCTAACTGTGCCGACACCATCCTCCCACTGACCAATCTCCTCGCAGGTTCTAAGCGCACCTTACATCAGCAGCATTCACATCATTTGAGCAGGTAAAAACCCTTTTGGCTTCTGGTGCTGGTGCACCCATATACCTGATGGTCGATGCTTCCAATGTTCCTGTTGGCGCTGTTCTCCAACATCTGCCAGATTCTACCGTGCCTTTGGCTTTCCTCTCCTGAAAATTATCCAGGGCCGAAACCCGCTACAGCACATTCGGGCGCGGACTTCTTGCCGTGAGGTACTTCCGGCATTTACTGGGAGGTCGAGAGTTGACAGTTTTCAGAGATCACAAGTCACTCACCTTTGCTCTGCATTCCCACTCTGGCAAACTAAACGCCTCGGAGATCCGCCACCTGAACTACATTTCGCAGTTCACTTCAGACATCCGCCATATTGACGGGTTACGGAATGAGGTGACTGACTCACTATTCAGGTCCTCTATCGCTCACCTCCAGCTTTCACCCGGGATCGACCTCGCTAAGATAGGCGCTGAACAACGCCATGTCGGTTCACCTTGTGATGATGATGTTTCCGGACTCCACCTTCAGGAGCTAACACTGATAACTGGCAACAGCACCATTCTACACGAAGTTTCCACCCCATCTCATTTGTACCACCATGCCTTTGCCGCAAAGTTTTCTCCCCCCTAAACAATCTATCTCACCCCGGGGGGCCTAACTACCGACAAACTGGTTACCGACCACTTCGTCTGACCTGGGATGCACAAGGACATCAAAGCCTGGACACGGGCTTGTATCGCCTGTCAATGGAGTAAGGTCCAGCCTCAAAACCAGGTCCCCATTGGTACCTTCCCCGGCCCTGATGGAAGATTCAGACACATTCACATGGACATTGCAGGTCCCCTGCTTCTGTCCAATGGTTGCTTCTATCTCCTCGCCTGTGTGGATCAGTCAACCCGGTGGCCTAAAGCTATCCCCCTGCCTGTCATTGCTACTCCAATGGTGGTCAAAGCTTTTCTCAGTTGCTGGGTTGCCATCTTTGGTGAACCCTCCACTGTCACCACTGACCGCGGTGCCTAGTTTGAGTTTAACCTCTTCCAGTCTTTCCTCTCCTTTTTAGGTTGTACCCTCATCCGGACGACAGTCTATCACCCGACTGCCAACGGGACTGTCGAGCGGTTTCACCGCCAGTTGAAAACCACCCTACGCGCCGCGGATGATCCGAAGGATTGGACAGACCATCTTCCCCTGGTCCTCTTGGGCCTCCCCTCCGCTCTCAGGCCGGGCCCTGACTGTTCCGCAGCTGGACTGGTCTTGGGCGCCACAGTCAAACCTCCTGGTAGGATGATCACGCCAAATTCTCATGGTGCGGTCGAAGATCCTACCAACCTCCTGCACCGCCTCCGACAGTTTATGTGGACACTTCCCCCGGTTCTGCCCAGGCCTTCAGCATCTCCGTCTTATCCCGAAAAGGACTTTGTAACGTGCGCTCACGTCCAACTTCGATGTAATAGAGTCCGCCGGCCTTTTGAATCACTCTATGACGGCCCATTCCGGGCCCTCTCTCGAGGGACCAAGACGTTCCGCATTCGACGCGCCAGTCGTGGGGAGGTCGTGAGTGTGGGCCGCCCCAAAGCGTCTGTCCCGGACTTTCCGTCGGACGAGACCTGTGGTCTCCTCTCCTCTGCTTCCCCACCTCCTCCAGCCTCTATTCCACCGTTGCGTATTTGGCCTTTTTCCCCTGTCTACTATCTACACCTGCTACCTCTGAATCCAACTGACTGGCCGATACCAAGTCGAAGAAAGATGTTTCACGACGCCAGATTATCTTGCTTTTACCTACCTGTTCGACATTCCTGAACTTACTGTTTGTGTATCTGACTGGAAGGATCTCGGCTCAACACGACGCGCGCGGCATGCGTTGGACTATCAGGTCGTTTGACATTTAATTATTCATTCTTTCAAAACTCCTGTCCTGTCCTGATATCCTTAGTCTGGGATTGACAATCGTGTACTTCGCGTTCACAACAGAGGTTCACAAGTTTCAAGTTCGGTGGTCGAGAAAGCCAGCACTCAAGTGCATCAATCCTCTTCACCTTATCAATCGATATATAGAGCATGAATTGACCTCATTGGACATCTCCGGGCCCAGTGCAACGTCAACGTACCCTTTATCTCCCTAAACCCCGTCATCCTAACAATCACTCTAGTCAGCGTTGGCATTGAGGATGCTCCTGTAATCCCGCCCGCCATCACCCTCACCGCCTCCTTCCACCAACAACGTGGATTAAGTTCCAACCTGTTCCCATTTCAACCACACCTCCAAACCACGCATCGGTCCGTTCGGTTACTTGTAAATCCATCGCACCAAGACCGGCAAACTAGTGCCGGTAACCGTAACATCCACCCACCGCTCACTTGCCCACACTGCCCCTGAACATTCATCCATTGTGCAAACCCATACGGTCATATGTCCATCTACAACATTCTTCGGTAAAACCACAACGTTCTGACACCGTCGGAACACCTTGTCGTTCTGCACACACGCACTACATCTCCTGCGTTGTGCACAATCCTGCTCCACATAAGGCATGTACGCGACGCCTCTCCGCAACACGTAATATCTCCCTGCAGCGGTTAAATTGAGATGCACTGTGCTAGCGCCTGTATGACGCGCGACACGTGGCATGTCTGCTCATGCGCCTCCTCACTTGCGGGGAAAACGCGTTTTTTGACATAGACCGATGCATGAAGCGGGGATCAGGTCGTGTGTGGTACGCGAAGACGGACCGTTTGGTTTTGCTAGTTACTCCGACAGTTTCTACCTTTGGTCATTTTGACTCGGTTTTGCAGTCAGAGCAGAATCCGTATGGAAGGATAGTAAGGTCGATGCAGCGTAAGTATATTTCACTGAGAACGGATTTTTGCAGAAGTCACTTTTGCGTCTGTAGTGGCCTGCCGCGGGGGCGCCTACTGCAATGCTGCACGCGTGTACCAATGACAGTTTGGTTCTCGTTCAAGCACAGCTCCCCAAGCCTGTTAATCACTTTCAAGTCTGATCAAGTCCTGCCGTCGGTCAAGGCGCTCTGACGCCTGTTCCTCTCTCATTCGATAGTCTGCTCTCGCGGTTCCCGACGTGTGCTGCCGTCTGGCACTCAACTTCTTCCAAACTATTAGTAAATCATTATGCACATCATGCAAGGCTCTGTATACTGACGCCCAACTTTTAGTACCAGTTGAGACAGTGCCTGAAGGTGGTAATGGATAGGGTCTGTTTTTTTACTTAGTCTTCCGCGACATCTTTACCTCCTGGATCAGCGATGGAAAACGTTTCTCGCGACGGCCAAACGGTCAACTACCAAGAAGGCCGTCAAGACTACATAAAGCTTAACATCCCTGACTGTAACCAACATGATTATCCCAAAATTGGCCTCTTTATGAAGAATACTTTTCAGTGAAGTATTGCTCCCACAGAATATAAAAATATTATTACATTTCGGCCATTTTTCTTTTTGTATTAAAATGAATGACAATAAGTACGTATTTATTTACTTCCTGACAGCTTCTTTCAGTCTTTTTCGAAAATTTCCCTCGTATTTTTATGCTGAAAATCACGTCGTAGATAAGAATTTCGTGTTCTGTTGAACTCAAAAAATAAAACAAGTAGGACAGTCTTGTCCGAAGAAACAACTTCTTTGCATCTTGCGGCGCTCGGAGAATAATCGGAAGGCGTCATTTCCATTCGGCTAATTATCATAACTCTTACTGTTTTATATGAATACTGTCTCTCAACTCTTGAATGATGCGCTTCTAAAGGTACGTTTTTCGCAAATTCTCACAAACTTCGTGCGAATAACGGAACTTTTACTGTATGTAACCACCTTCATGCGAATTCGTTCAGAGTCCAGCTGTTGTCGAAGTCCATTGCCCCAGAAGATCGTACTTGCACCTCCCGCCTTCTTGCAAGTTTTCTTCCGAAAATTAGAGTACATTCTAAAACTGAGTTTTTTCTGACTTCGGTGTTTTTTCAGCTTCAGTAACCCAATCAGCCAAACGCGCACTTTGTGAAAGTGTGATTTGCTGACGAGTGGAGACAAACTGCGGTGAACCTAAAGGCAAGGATGACAGCCCACAGCAACTTCGAAGCGCAGTGAAAACCTAGGGCTGTTTTTCTCAAATTTATTAGACGGATAACGTCAAAATAGAGCTTGAATACCTACATTCTGGTGAACGTTTTTTATGTGTCAAGAACATTATGTAAGCCGTCAATCGACTTCTCGGGGTTGTATAAAGGCCCGACGCAATCACCCAAGGCCATTTAGGGGGATCGTAGGATATATTTAAATGGCGATGGACAATCTATTTCCGTATTTGGTGTCGTTGAATGCGGTATAAACGTGTCCAATCAACTGAAAACGAACCAACTAGTTATTATCGATCATAGATCTTCAGTGGAGATGGATGGTGTCACATCCGTAGCAGCGCTTCACTCGATGAGATCGAGCAACCACCTCAGGAACTACTATTGAAATCCTCTGAATTATTAACAACAATGTCAGAAGTGAACTGCTTTCGTCAATATTAGACAATCCGGAATCAACCAGTTGACGCATGTAAATCTACTTGGATCGTAAAAATCGTTGAGAATTCAAGGGAGACTGACTCAACACCTCTGTCCGAATGGTCTTAGCCTGTTTCTTTTAGCAAAGAAATGTGTTAAACTGGAACTTCCTTGTAAGGTCTTTTACGTACTTCCTCCTTCCTAAAACATTTTAGATGCAAGGACCAGATGACTTGAAAGTTCAAAATGGGAGTGGGATGGAAATAGTGGCAACCGGGCAGCGCGACAAGTGAAAAGGGGCTCAACAACTTGAGAAAATGCTAGAAGATGAAAGGTTATATCCACAGTCAGGATAACTTATCCTAAAAATGATCGAGGTGACCAATCCTGGGGTCGCACGGTTGGTAAGACCCCCTCCCTATCCCTCCAAAATTTGGCGGCTTTAAAAAAACAGTAGTCAACAATTGACGAGCGCGGGTCAACCCTTAGACCAGGAATTCTTTATAGAAGGATGGAGGATAGGACTCCATTCGTACATTCTGATTAGCCTGTACACAATATACATTGATGTGCCTGGTACGCCTTTTGATTAAGGTTATTTGAACTCACTACACTGGAGCTCAGTTCCCTGGGTATACTCAGGTAAAAAAGTCATAAGGGTAGACAAAGCTGAGCAAAAAACTAGGATTGACATGGCAGAAGACCAACAGCAACAATTGATTTGGGCCCGTACAAGCGTCTGTTTTAGGCGATGGAAATAAGACTCCCTTTCCTTCAATGAACACTACACACACTTTCTGGACATGAACTTCAAAAGAAAAATTAACCGCGAAACACGGCTGAATACAGCAACATTAACGTCCCGAAAGGCAAGAGTATGATGACTGGAGAGATCGGGCCGGCTTCAATGAGGTCGGCAAGAACATATGGTTTCTTCCCAGCACGAAGCGAACCATTTCTAGCATGAAAATGCACAAGAATTCAATTCCCCACCAAAACAGGAAGTGCTCGGTTGTCAAAAAGACAACAACTGAAATTAATGTTCGACGGAATAGTGACTCAGATCACTGTCGTTGTGAATCTGTGTATTTCAGATGAAATGGTATTTAATTCATAATCGTATTCGACAGCTGGATAGTCTCTTCAGGAATGGTCAAGCTGTCCCATTGTAAATACACTAAAAAATACTCCTAATGTGCACATTACAAACTAAAAATTCAGAAAACCGAGGGAGTTCAGAGTTCGGACCTTGGTTGTAGGGCTAGAAAATGGCAGTAGCACCAAACCGGGAGGAACCTGCTATCGGCTAAATTATTATGCTCATCGGAAAGGCTCGTGTTTGAACATCACTACTTCTGGAATATTCATATAAAGATATTCAAGATTCATCGACAAAATCGGTTAGTGTGCTTCAAGATTTCGTCGGTAAAGCAAGTCCACCTAGAAAGGGAAAAGCTCATATCCACGCAAACCTAAAGATTGGCAACTTCTACCTTTAGGCCGTGCAGAAATTATCTCAGGTTTTGGTTATGCGGAGGAGTTAAGTACTAAAACTGGATTTGAAATTGCCTTACATCA